CTGGGTTGCATAAAATAGACAAAAGCCTGGACCTGGGAGATTTTCCTTATGCATGAATGTTTGCCCTGAAAAGCTAAAAGGTACATATGTTCCCCTTACTTGATCATGTTTAGCAGATTTTCTCATTCCAAGATATTTTAAAAATATAAGAATTTAACTGTACTTAGCCAGACTTGTTACACTCTGAGAGAAATAGGTATAGTTCAAGAAGGAATGTCTTATTCTGTAAAAACCTGTGTCGATGGAGGGAGATAGGCTATGCCCGGGGCCTGTGGTTTGGCCGACCACGTGATCCTGTGTGATGTGGGCAGCATCTCTTACCCTCTCCCATCTGGGCCAAATCTGTCACATGACACCAAGGACACAGTTGCCTCCACTGTCATGGAATCAAATTCAAGTAAAAGATGATCAGTTCCATGTACGTAAATTAGGTGAGGGGACTGTGAATGAGGACCAAAAAGGAAAAATCTGTGGAATTCTCTCTGTCCCCTTAGGAAGATTCCATGACTCTTCCGATTCTATCTAGGTTGGTATTGCTGTTCCTAATTTATTACCTCCCAGGAAGAAATAGAAAGTCAACTGAGTAATATTGATGCTAAAGGCTTAGGAAACCGTAAGATAGTAGGACTTCTGGCTTCATCAAATCAAAAGTAACCTTTGCTAGCATGCTTCGTAGGGAAAGCTGACTTAGTTGTTACAACTTCCAGTACTTCATTATTCCCTGATGCTAAGGACTGTAGCTTGTTTCCTTTCAGTTTTAGAAACAAAAAAGTAGGCATATTAGTGCTGCCCAAATATAGGTTCTAGTTTGTTTTTGTTTCTACTTATAGAAGAGAGTGACAGTAGTTTCTCTAATAAAGGATTGTTAAAAACCCCTGAGGTTTTTCAGTGTGAAGACTCCATTGGAATTTTAGAAGTGTTCAACTGCATATGGTAGACGTGTGCCTTGACTTAACTCTGCTTGTTTGAAGTATGGAGAAAAATCAGTAAATTCAGTACGGTGCTAGGTTATGTTTCAAACACAGGAATCAGAATTTCAGGCGTGGAAAAGTTTTGGAAGACAGTGCATTTTCTTCACTCTGCACATACATAGTGTTTAATGCACTCTCACGGACTGACGATACCATTAAAAAGAACAATAGAGGTAATAATGAAAGATTCACATTTGTCTTGGCTATTTCCTGGACTTAATTTCCAATTTGTTTTGCTCCTATAATAAATTATCCTGGATAGGTTTATTTTTGGATGGAGAATAACGTACATTTGCAGATATTTATTTATTTATTTTTACTTCTTTTTTTTTTTTGGCTACGCCACTTGCCAGGTCTTAGTTCTCTGCCCAGGGATGGAACCTAGGCCCTTGGGTCGTTGGCAGTGAAAGTGTGGAGCCCTAAGTGCTGGACCTCCATGGAATTCCCTTTTCAGCGCTTTAAAAAGCTTCTAATGTAGACACAGCGCTATATTGCTTCAGTTCAGTTCAGTTGCTCAGTCGTGTCTGACTCTTTGCGACCCCATGAACCACAGCACGCTATATTGCTTATTGTTATGTAATTCCGTGAGCAGTGACATGATTATACTCACCAAAACAAGGATTTCAGGGAATTTCCTGGCAGCCAGTGCTTAGGACTAGTGCTTTCACTGCTGGGACCCAGGTTTAATCCCTTGTTGAGAAAAAAAGATCCTGCAAGCCATGTGGATAGTGAATTTTTTTTAAAGTTGTAAAAAGAATTATAGCAGAGCCCTCACACTGTGCTCACTGATGTCACCAGCTGAAGTTTCAAGAATCTGGGCTGCTTTGGCCTTTGTGCCATTACTGTCCCTGATGCTGACAGCTGCCGAGTCTCCACGAAGCACTTCAGTGCATGTATTTATTTGTACGTCTGATCTCACGTTCCCAGCAACTAGCACAAGGTAATATGGTGGGTGTTTACTACATCTGTGTTGAGTGAAAAGATAAATCAAGAGGGAGAGGAGGAGGGGAGGAAAGCCGGAGCACAGATGGGTTTAGGGCAGTGCAACTATTTTGAATGATAACACAATGGTAGATGACTGTCACTCTCCATTTGTCAAAACCCATTGAATGGACAACACAAACAAGTGATCCCTAATGTAAACTATGGGCTTTAGTGAACAATATTTCAGTATTGGTTCATCGTAGGTACCCCGCTAACACAAGGGGTAGATGTATATGAGAAATCTGGGAGAAGCGGGCACAGGGAGGTCTCTGGATTTGCCAATTTTTTTGGGGGGGAGTCAAACTAAAGCTACTCTAAAACACATGGTTTGCTTGCTCAAGCTATGGGAAAACATCAGGGAAAACCAGAACTAGGACTTAAAATGCTCTTTTTCATCTTTGTTACACTCTAGACTGACCGTCTTCAGAACGCCCACACCAGCGGTGGCTAGCATCTCCTCGGCGTACGACCTTCCAGGCTTGCGCCAGTGGACTTTTTCTTACTTCAGCTGTTATTAGAAAACTCCCCATTGCTGGTTCGCCTACCTTGGAAATGTCAGCACCTTTAGACCACTATGGGGGTTGAGAGATAGGCTCCCGTTAGAGTATGGTGTTTCCAAGGCTGGAAAAAAGTAGGCATTTGGGATCCAATTGCAGCTATCCTGGCAAGAGATCAAGAGATAGTGGTGGCTCAGAAAAGGGAGGTGGAGAGAGAGAGCGAGCGAGCGAGCGAGAGAGAGATCTGGAGATAATATGAGGATGGGGCTGTTAGGATTTATTGAGGAGTTGGGTATAAGCACTGAGAGAAAGAAATGGGACATGACTCTGTCCTGACAACTCAAAGGATGGGGTTCTTTCGGCTGTGATGGTGCATCTTTGGTGTTACTTGGCTGGGCTAAGGGCCAACCAGATAGCTAGGAAGATATGATTTCTGGGTGTATCTTGAGGGTGTTTCTGGAAGAGAGAAGCACTTGAGTCAGGAGACTAACTAGAGCAGATCTGTTCTCACCAGTGGGGACAGGCATCACGCATCAGTAGAGCACCTGGAAGGAACAATAAGGAGGATGCAGAATGAAGTCCCTCTCTTTCTCCTTGGGGTGGGACATCCATCTTCTGCTCATGACACTGGTGCTCCTGGATCTCTGGCTTCTGGACGCTGGGACTTATGTGAGCCGTCCATGGTTTTCAGGCCTTTGGCCTCACACTGGCAGTTCTACCATCAGCTCCTGTGTTCTTCAGGCCTTAGGATTTGGACTGAATTATGCTTTTGAATTTCCTGTTTCTTCAGCTTGTAGACAGCACAGCATAGCATACATATCTCAGCAGCCACAGAATCTTCTATCTATCTATCATCTATCTATCCTACTGGTTCTGTTTCTTTGGAGTATTTTGAGTAATACATGAGCAGAGGAATAATATGGCAGCATAGGTTAGAAAGATATCAGGAGCTTAGTTTTAGATGTAGTGTATCTATCAAATAGCTGTGTGTGCATGTATGCTAAGTCGCTTCAGTAGTGTCCAACTCTTTGCGACCCTATGGACTGTAGCCTGCCACGTTCCCCCGTCCATGGGATTCTCCAGGCAAGAATACTGGAGTGGGTTGCCATGCTCTCCTCCAGGGGATCTTCCTGACCTGGGTATTGAACCTGCATCTCCTGCATCTTTTGCATTAGCAGATGGGTTCTTTACCACTAGTGCCACTAGGGAAGCCCTGTTGACTAGCTCCCTAGTTGAAAATGTCAAATAAGCAGTTATATATAGATGAGTCCAGGTATCCACTGGACATTGCTTATTGACGATAGTTTTTTATTTTATAGCTTCTCCTAGGATGCAAGCTCCATGAGAGCAGGCACTTCGCCTGTTTTGTTCCTTGCTATACCTCCAGTCACTAGAAGAACTCCTGGTGCATAGTAGATGCTCATTAAAATTTACAGGAATGATGAATGAAGGATTGAATGGGAGTGTTAAGTATTCAATACAACAAAGCTGGTTGAGAATACAGTACAGTTAGGAATTATCTGTTTGAAAACCACTCACTTGGTTATTACTCAGGAGAGGTTTGCAACAGGCACTGCGTATCAAACATTTCCTAGGTAGAACTATGTATTAATCCAAATGAAGGGACACTCACAAGGCTTCTGTAAACATTTATTTTGTACTTGTGGGCTACTGCCAATGCAGGCCCCTGGCTTCTGGCTCATTTCTACAGATTTACTTGGAAAGATGTGATAAACGTAGAAATTGGGAATATTCCTACTTATCAACCACAGTCACTTACTGGTCCATAAACAAAATGCACATGGAAGCCTGTGTGGTTATTCAGAAATCTATGACTTTCTGAACTTGCAAAATGCATTTTTGATATGCAAGAGACAAAGCATCCTAAAGAAAAAGACCACTGTCTAAACAAAATGGTGTGAACCTATGGCTTATATTATAGGGCTATATCACTGCCTGTGATGCACCCATGGACTAATGGAATTGACTGCTAACACACAAATGAGCCCTGCAATTGGATGGCTGGCACCTGCTATCATTTTATACATGACTGTTCTAAAATACAGCCCAAGGAAGCAACTGAGCTAATTTATCATCAGACATTTTTCTGGTGAAATCTGATAGAAGCATTTGCCCTCTTGTCAGTCTCATTACCATGTTGAGGACTGGGACAATATAATACTTCAGACTTTAATGAATTTTGCTCCGGCACAGGAAAAAATAAACCCCAAATACTGCTTTTTTCAACTAACCACCAACCAAAAAACCAAAATCCATTGTCAACCCGTGGCTCATCCTTTTTCATGAGGCCTCTCACATTCCACTTGTAATGGTAACATGGTCATGAGATTTATGAACACGGATAGATTAAAACTGACAGGTTGGCTGTTTTGAGGAACAGCCACCTAGATTCCATTTGGAGTGTGTGCTTTGGCACAAATGCAAGGCATTAATATTAGATTACATGAAATCCATACATACCATCTGACCTCATGCATGTACCACACACACGGATACATTCCACAGAGACGATCACAGAAAAACTGGCTAAAAGGAATTTACGGTTGTTTATATACATATATATTTATATACACACAGTAAAAGATTTGCTGCTGTACTCACAGTCTGTAAACATCGTGGAAAATGCCCAGCAGAAGTCACTGTGGGCCTTTTGAAATGGTGACCATGTGAGGAGTGTGGGTAGGGAAAGCATTTAGATTCATACTGAAAACCCAGGGACATGAAGAACCTTAAGTTCATGGCAGCATCTGGGAGTAATTATATTTCATTGACACGATAAACTCAGCTGGCCACTTTGAAATTATGTTTTCCATATTCCTATATGGAAAAGGAATGACCAAAAAAAGTCTCACTGCCAGTTAACATTTTTAAAAGCAAGCAAAGGAATATATACATACATGTATATATGTATATGCATGTATATATATACATGATACATATGTGTATATTTGCACACACACATATACATGTTACTATTACCAAAACTAAACCTCAATGAGAATTTCCAAATCTTCTAAAAATACAGAATCCTTTTTTTCTTGCTTCGTTCTGGACTTCTATGCATTTCACTGAAAGTCTTGGGCATAGTTAAACAATACATACATTTAAATTTTAGTAAATGGTATTTTGATTTTACATAAAATGCTTCCATTAAAAAACTAGGCTTGTGAAAAATAGAACTGTTTGATTCAAGCATTATTTTTCAATCTAACAGAAAAATAGGCACAAGGTCTCCTATAATGAAACCCCATTAAAAAAGAAAATATAGGTTCTTAAAAAGTTTGCATAGCAGCTATTAAACTGCCATATATGGATATCAGTCTGTGCTTTAAGGTCCTGTAAGCTCCTGCAGCTTGAGAATTTATGTTTTAAAAAATAAGCCGGTGACATGAGAAACACTAACCTAATGTCTCACCTGAATTCCATTTTATGTGTTTTTAGGGACGAAAATATGTGTCAATGAGCTCAGATCATCAACTGTAGGCTACTATGCAGTTAAAAAATACTGGCACTGAATAACATTTCAAACAAAGGAGACTTAAACCCATACTGTGTTTGGCCAAAAAACCAAAATTACTTACAAAAAAGATAGAAAATCTTGTTACAATCTCTATAACTTTTTCATGGTGACTGCTCTCATTGAACATTCTACAGAACCACCATGAAAGTTTGCCATGTACTCGAAAAATCTATTTTCATGCAAAGGTAGTAAATATCCTTCTGGTTTAACTGAACAATCTCCTTTCCCCCTGCCAACTCCCACCATTTTTTAGGGCTGAATATAACATGCAGAATATGTAGATCAGATAAATCAAAGAAGTAAGATTCGTTGAATTTGTGGGTATAAACCGGTCAGCCCTTCAGTGTTTCGGGAAATGTTTTTCCAGGGGGTGGGACCGAGTCACGAGAGAAGGATGGACAGATTCCTGGGGACGCAGTCGCTGTGCTGACTTTTTCCTCCAGTAGGGCTTGAAGTACGCCGATAAATGTCCCTCCAGGTTAGTTGATACTGTCCTTGTGGCTGCTCCTCTCTGTGTTGTGGTTGTTTTGCTCCTGGTTCTTCCACTGGATGCTTGTGCCATTCATGGGCACCGAGGTCATCAGACTCTTGGACTGGTAACAGCAGCAGCACAGGCAAGACTGGGAGAAGGAACAGACCCAGATTGAGAGGAGGCCACCAGCCTGTTCCCAGCAGAACGCACAGGCTCACCAACAAGGGTGAATGTCCACAGGCATTTGAGGACAGTGTGGGCCTTGCCAGAAATCTGGAGTAGGGCGTTTGTAACCTCTAGGGAGACGTTAAATGGTTTATTCTAGTGCAGAGTGACAGATCCCGTGTTCCTTGTTTTAACTGATTCACCAAGTTAAAGAGGAAAGGAAGGCAGTGTTGGTGGGGGGAGACTGTTCTATGACTTGGGGTGGGCGTGGGTGGGAAGGACCGGGAAGGGCCTGGCGTGTCTTCACGGTACCACCTGCGTGCCTCTGTTCATTGGGCACCTCATCTGAGGCTCTTGAACAGCCCCAGGGGGTAGATGCTATTTCCCTCCTGAATGAGAATAGGGGGGCTTAGAGAAGAGGCAGAACTGAACTCAGAACCCAGCACTCTCTCTGTTGGACCCTTTCCCCTGGGTGTGCTGCCTTTTTATGAATATCAGTCAAAACTGTGTTTAATTTCTGAGAGTGTACACCTGGATTTTTTTTCCCCCTTACCCTCTGGTTAATATGTAAACTAATTAGCAACTGATTTTACTCCAGATTACATAAACGTATTTGTTATGACCTGCATTTTCGTCACTCTTTCTTAGGGCAGAATCTTTTTTTTTTCTTTCATATATTTACTTTTATTGAATTTGTTAATGACACATAGTTTTTGCACTGCCAAACCATGCCTGAGAATTCAAAGAAAGAAATGGTACAATGGACAGCCTCATCCACCCATCATACAGCATATTAAAACTTGATTCATGTGCACTTTGATAATTCCACAATCTTTGAAAAAGTTGTAACAAGGGTTGGGATTTTTAAGTCTCCTTGCAGGTCTTTAGATTTCTATGCCATTAAATAACTTTTCCATATATTCATCTCTGTTCCTCAATAACATAATCCCCAACAAAATTTCGTTGGAAAAAATGCACTTTTCAGGGGAGATATGTGGCTCAAGGTTCAAGAGATTATTTGTTAAAAGATTTTTGGTTCCCAAATGAAGTCTTCAGATTAACCAAGAATCCTTTGTTTCTCAATCATCCAACCTCTCCTTGGCTGGCTCAGCTACTCACCCAAGCACATCAGAACATAGTCATCCTGCCTGCCACCTCAAGTAACTAGCGCAGAATCTTTCTGAGGGCATTTCATGACTTGTAAACATAACCCCAAAGTGTGGCAGTAAGAAGTTCCATACCAAGTTTTATTGATTCCTATGACTCTCTGGTTAATATCTGTCTGTCTCCTTTTAGACGGCAGGAGTCACGAAGGTAGTCACTTGTGTTTTTCCTCTCTTCTATCCTTAATACTGATAAACTCACACCGAGCACTTTCTGCTGTCTCAAGCACTGAACCACTTATTCCACCTGATGAGATGGATACAGTGTCTGATACAGATACAGACACAGCATCTGATTTACTGACAGGCAAACTGCGGAAGCAGGAGCGGCCCCACTTGGACCTGGTTTTAGATAGTCAGCTAGTGCAGAGCTGGGATGTAAATCAAGACTGTTCACTTCCAGATCCTGCACCCTTGAACTCTATGCTACTCTTCCTAATACGTACCATAAAATGAAGTTAAACGTCCTGGCCAAAGTTAACGGATTCCAGTTAGGACTAATTCTATGCTAAAATCATTCTAGGAACTGGAAAAATAATACCTCAGTGAGAAGTGCTTGGAACTTCAGGAGAACACGTGTTGGCTTAGCTACAAGGAGGTTTGAAGAATGGAAGGAAACTGATTTTGAATTAAATTACATTGTTCAGATTTCCAGAGCCATAAACATTTACGTTTCTTGAAAAGACTATTATGAAGTATACTATTAAGTAGCATTTAGCAAGAGCTTTCTTAACAATGAGTTTATGTTTTGTTGAGAGTATGGTTAAAAGTCTAAGGCCATGTAAGGTATGAATAAGTTTATTCTGTTGGCTTTGGAGCACAACTTGGGAATATTTCTTTTCAAAGCATGATACTAAATTGGCATGTTACTAAATTAGTTCTTTTTATTTTAACTTTTGAGTATGTTGTTTGAATAGATATTCCTTTTCTGTTATGCTGACAATTTGATGCTCTTTCTGGGTAACAAAATGTAATTTTCACTTCTCTTCTGAAAAGTTCAGCTGCTGAAAGTACTATTGTGATTTTCACTTCTCTTTTGAAAAGTTCAGCTGATGAAAGTGCTATTTACAACTGGAATGAGATATGCCTGTTGGATATCTAAGATACACATGTTGGCTATTCTTAAAAAATACTTGCTTACAAAGCAGAAATAGAGACAGAAGTAGAGAACAAATGTATGATACCAAGGGGGATAGGGAGGTGGCAGGATGAACTGGGAGACTGGGGTTGGCATATCCACACTCCCGGAACTTTGTATAGAATGGATAACTAATGAGAATCTACAGGGAACTGTACTCAGTACTCTGTGGTGGCCTAAATGGGAAGGATATATATATATATGAAAGGGGATATAGGTATATATATAGCTGATTCACGTTGCTGTATGGTAGAAACTAATAAAGCATTCTGAAGCAATTATACTCTATTAGAAATAAAAATAAAGACAAGACAGAAGAGGAAAAAGAATTCTAATTAAGTGGAAACAACTGAATTTGCTATTATTTACTATTGCAAACGGGCGGCTCAGCGGTAAAGAGTGTGCCTGCCAGGTAGGAATCTGCTGCGTGACGCAGGGCGCTCAGCCCAGTGCCCTGTGCCTGCCAGGTAGGAATCTGCTGCGTGATGCAGGGAGCTCAGCCCAGTGCCCTGTGGCTGCCAGGTAGGAATCTGCTGCGTGACGCAGGGCGCTCAGCCCGGTGCCCTGAGGCAGCCTAGAGGGATGGGGTGGGGAGGGAGGTGGGGGGCTCAGGAGGGGGGACATATGGATACCTGTGGCAGGTGTATGGTGGAAACCAATACAATATCGTAAAGCAATGATCCTCCAATTAAAAAAAAAAAAGAATCCACCTGCCAATTTAGGAGATGCAGTTTGGATCCCTAGGTTGGGAAGATCCCCTGCAGTAGGAAATGGTAACCCATTCCAGCATTCTTGCCTGGAAAAATCCCACAGACAGAGGAGCCTGGCAGGCTATAAGTCCATGGAGTCCCAAAAGAACTGGACATGACGGAGTGACTTCACAATAACAGCAACAACCATCACATATAATCAATCATTAATGCCAATAATTATTATGAAAAAGATCTTCCTGCTAAAAGAAATACTTACCTGGAAACAATTTTTAAATTTCTTGCTCACAAAATATAGAGCTATTGGGTTGATACACGAATTCATGGTTGCCAAGTTAATACCGATGTAATCCATGAGCAGCAAGAAACTTGAGCAAAAGGAAATAGAAGAGATAAATTAGAACATCATATTTTAAAACCTAACTAGCATTTATCTCTAGAAGCAGCATTTTTCTTGGCCAGGAGACATTTCTTAGAGGTGGCAGTCAAAATTATTTTTAAAGCCCTTGTTTAAATGGCAGTTTCAGTTCTGCAGGACATGTGCAGATACACCCACCACTTGGTTAACCCAGGAGGGGAGCAGCAAAGTTATTGATAGGGCTTGCACAAAATTTTGAGGTTGGTTATGGGCTGCAGCAGCTAAAGAAAAACAATCAACTTGGAAGATTTTATTTTCAGGGCGAACGTGAGTGTAGAGCAGGTGGTTTTGTAAAAGTCTTAGAAATGTGAAATCAGAGAAATTCCAATTTCCTTCTGAGTACATAGGATCCTACCTAAGTAATTCACATCGGTTTGTGTCCATTTCATCATACACAGTTTTCTTCAAAATGCGGCTTAAATGAAGAGGGAACCAGCACAGAGCAAAAATTACAACCAAGCAGAAAACTGTTTTTGCCACTTCTCGACGCTAAAGAAAAGTGAGAGAAAAAAATACAACAAGTTTAGTGTTTTTCTACCAGAGAAAATCGATACACAAAAGGAAGTAGGACAATGTCGGGTTAGTTTCAACATGACATTGTAAAGCAATTATACTGCAATTTAAAAAAAAAAGCAGTAGATTGGGACAGAATACTGGAAGAAGAGGCAGAGCAACCCACCTCACCACCCTCTACCTCTTCAAGATTTCGAGTCCCGGAAACTCCCTTGGTCCAGTGGTAGGACTCTGAGCTTCTGCTCCAGGAAGCATGAGTTTGATCCCTGGTCGGGGAACTAAGATCCCACATGCAGCACAGTGCAGCCAGATAAAAAATAAATAAGGTTTGGAGTCCAGTTGTCTTAAGCAAGGAGCTGTTAGTGATTCTTCTGGGGCAGCTGCCAGGAAGCATGGTAGCCTCAGGCTGGTTACTAGGGCCAGGTCAAAGGTTCGATGGTGGGCAGAGCGGGGGATTGGCTGGGATTGAGCCAACACTGTGACTGGGTCTGTATGTCTGTCGAACATATGGGGAGAAGGTTAGTTTAAAGTCTCCATAGCAGGTAATTCACCCGCATTGATGATAGCATGGTAGTCAAGGTGACTGACCCTAGCATAATAATAAAATGGGACAAATCTAGGAAATTCCCTGGTGATCCAGTGGTTAGGATTCTTGGCTTTCATTGCTGAGGGTCTGGGTTCAGTCTAGCCTGAAACCAGTTCCCCTGGTTGGGGAACTAAGATGCTGTAAGCTGTGTGGTATTTCACCCCCCAAAAACAATGAATAAGTCTCCAAAGGTGTTTGGAAAACAAAATAGGAGTAGGAAACAGAAAGAGAAAAGGAAGAACAACATGTTTTCTCCATTTCTTGATCTTGGAGAAAGCTGGCATTTGGATTTTTTTGGCTTTTAAAATTCTTTCATTAATGACAGGTAGTTTCCAAAGATACACTGCAAATAAAGAGTGCGGGCGTACTAAGTCACTTTGGTCCTGGCTGATTCTGCGACCTTATGGACTATAGCCCTCCAGGCTCCTCTGTCCATGGGATTCTCCAGGCAAGAATACTGGAGTGGGTTGTCATTTCCTTCTCCAGGGGATCGTCTTGACCCAGGGATCGAACCTGCGTCTCTCGAGTCTCTTGTCTCCTACATTTGCAGGCGGGTTCTTTACCACTTAGCGCCACCTGAAGGTGAAGGATTATCAGCACAGACAATTGGAAAAACAGGGACATGTGGACTCTGGCCTGACTCCAATGGCAGGTTTACATGCTTTGGGGTCTGCACAGGATCAGTAAAACCTCAGGTTAGGAATTATCTGCAGCCAGCCATTTGCGTGCCCTGTATTTGAGTATTCCAGGGCATGGCATTAGGAAGCCCAACTGGGAACATAAAATACAACTTGTCTGTAACCGGGATCACTTAATGTCAGAATAAAACTGATTGAAAACAGGGTTTCGAAGGGTAAGGCTGGTTCAATCTGAAGCATACAGCATTAACTAGGGGAAACCTGCAATAAACCCATGTGATTGATAGAGCTATTTAAAAAGATCTCAGGGCAGTCGTCACAAATTGTGGCTTTAGCCCCAAGAACTGGGAGTTCTTTAATCTTTGAGTTAGCTAGCTAGCTGGCTATGGCTTCAGAGAATGTATAAACTGAATGATGATTGAGAACAATAAAGGATTCCTTTATTTATTAATCTACAGGAATGGGGGATCATTTTAATGGGCCATTTTGTGTCCACGGAAAGACAGTGTAGAAAGGAGTGTGTCGGGAGAGAGGCTGTCTCTTTGGAGCACATCCTCAAAGTAGGTAAACTTACTTATTTATTTAGGCTATGCCACATGGCATGTGGGATCTTAGTTCCCTCAGCAGGGATTGAACCTGTGCCCCATGCCATGGAAGTGTGGCAGCTTAACCACTTGACCTCCAAGGAAGTCTGCAAGAGGATAACTTTTTAAAAGGTAACATTAATACTTTGCCACGTGACAGTCAGCTATTTGGTTAATCAATATCCATCCTTCAGAGCTTTCCTTACTATCAGTCAGATCCTGGATTTTGTCACAGCTACAGAGGAGCCTGGCTTCCTCACCCGTGCGGATCTTACCGATCACACCAGGTAGAAGCCCATTGTGCGGGGTTTCTGACACGGCCAGGCATGTTCAGAGTGGTATGGCCATAGACGTGGGGTTTCTGGAAAAGCCACTTAAACGTGGGGGCTACTCCTTTGGGGCACACAAGCTAATGTGATCTGCATCCTCCCCCTTCTGGCTGCCTAGAAAGGAGGTCTAAGGGCAGAAATGTCGCTGCTGTCTCCCAGTAATAAAGGAAAGGTAAGCACAGCAGCAGAACCCTGGCTCCTGAGTGCCTTGACCACTGAGCCGATGACATCTGAGTTTTCCGCTGTGGGAGACAGAGGAGCCCCGACTTGGCCTACTCCCCGTTATTTGGGGTTTTCTGTTCACATTTGTGCTCACTCGCTCAGTTGTGTCTGACTCTTTGCCACCCCATAAACTGTAGCCTGCCAGGCTCCTTTGTCCATGGGATTCTCCAAGCAAGAATACTGGAGACAGTTGCCATTTCCTCCTCCAGAGGATCCTCCTGACCCAGGGATCGAACCCACGTCTCCTGCGTTGGCAGGCAGATTCTTTACCACTGAGCCACCTGGGAAGATTTTCTGCTACCATTATCCAAACACAACCCCTAACTGATAAAGGTGTTGTCGGTATAGTGAAGAGAAATTCTAGAAAAACATGCCAAAAGCAGGATCAAGAGCCATGTTGGACTTGGATGGGGAGGTAGGGTTTTCACTCCAAGCTAGCTCCCCTGCGACCCTCACCTCCAAAGTCGTCCCAATTAGGCTTGCCCTCCTGCAGTCAGAACCTGCTCAATCTCTGAGTGGGACGCAAGGCAATGTCTACTGCATGGGGACCAAGTTTTGGATTCTAATGTCCATTTTGTTGTGCCAGTCTCTTAAACACTTGTATAATAAGGGCACATGCCTGTCCAGCTTATCTCACAGAGTGTCTGGAGGAATCAAATACCAAAATGACGTGGAAATGCTCTTTGGGAACTTAAAAAATGCTATGAAAATGTGAAGCAGCAGCATCTTATTGCTCCCAAACCCTATTTAATTATTTTCAGAGCAGGTGTCACTCATAGCTTGAATAGGCTCAATTGTGGTGCTAATGCAAAATTGACATTTAAAAACACTGTTTTTCACTAATCTATTCTAATTAGTTACCTCTATTGCAGGAATGAAAGGTCATACAGCTTAATATGTTTCACATCTGGAGTACTCTGAACTTTCATGCCTGGATGATGTCATGCTAAAGTTTCTCAAGATAATTTTCCTGTTAAATTTTAATAAAGGATAATAGCTTCCATTTATATAACATGTTAGATTTTTATGAAGTATGTGAATGCATGTTAATTCCTTTGATTCTCATAATAATACTGATTCATATATTATTATGTCCAGTTTAAGATAATGAATTGAAGTTCAAAGAAATCAGTACCCTGGTCAAAAAGAGTTGCCGATGAAGACTGATGCTCATGTATGGTAATCACACAGGGCAGTTATCCAGGCTCCATCAACAACTCACATTTACATACTTGTCTGTTGAAACTGAACACTTAACTACAGTCCTAGTTTTACTCTTTGAATTAATATATATCAACAGTATCCGACTACTTAGTATCAGCTGGGTTCTATTAGCCACCGTATATGCATTACATAATCCCTTTGATGTACTACTATATACATTGCATTAAAAATTTTTAAGACTCAAAATTGAGCTAGTTTTTGCACAGAAAAGTGCAGGTGGGATCTCCCTGGTGACCCAGTGGCTCAGACTCCGCACTCCTAATACAGGGGGCCTGGGTTTGATCCCTGGTCAGGAAACTAGATCTCACAGTCAAATAAATAAATATTTAAAAGGGCAGACATTATTTTATACATTTTTCAAAAAAATGAGAAGTTCAGAGAGAGAGAGCAATTGTCCAGTGTCACAGAGTCAGCAAATAGAAGCTTCACAGCTTTATTTGTTCTGTTTGCTGCCTGGGAGAGACAGATAGCCTCCTACTGACAGGTTCAGATTTCTTCTGGGACTTGAGGCTTTCCAAAATGCGACTTCTTATGTACCCAATCCCATTTCTTTCTGTGAGTCATACCTTAGACGCTGCTTTAATGAGGTCTGTTTCCTTTTCCTACTCCTCAAAGGCATGGTATTCATGTGTGTTCTAGCTAGATCCCCATCAGGAACAGTTCAACCCTCCTCATGCGTGAACAGTTTCTTCATGACTTTATCTCATATCTTCCTTGGCTTTCTATAGCACAGGCTACTTTTACCACACCTTGTGATTCTGTTTTTCAATTATCTCATGTTTGTGTTTTATTTCCACAACAAGACTGTAAAGCCTGCTGGGGAGAAAGTCATGTGCTTCTTTTTTTTTTTTTTAATAGTCCTGGCACAATTCCAAGCCCAGTTCAATGTACTACTAATCAGAAACACACGTTTGATAGATACTCTTGGCAAAGTTAATGAATAGTTCCTCTCTATTTGGGCCCTGCCCCCAGGGCCACCTGTTTCACAGGTCGGTTCCTGACTTCACTGGAGAAATGCTCAATATTCTAGAGAAAACAAGGCATACAGACAAGTAAGACAGTATTTTGATTTTTAGGAAATCAGGCTAAATCTGCAAAACACAGTATCCATAGTCCTTTCGTTGTCAAGGACGAACCAGTCTTGGCCAGATCGTGATGACCTTGTGAGGTTTACCTGTTTGAGATGTTCACTGAGGGCAATTCTCAGGCTGCCGTTCCTTCGGTTTAACATCTCACAAGTCATGAGGGTGTAGAAGATTGCCGTGCACACCAGAGGCATGCAGAAGTAGAACCCGAACAGCCACCAGTCCTTGACATCCTGATAGAACTGGAAAGAGGAGAGGAGGGAGAGAGGAGGAAGAGCGTTAGAAGGAAAGTTCTCTGCGCTGTGCCTCTGGGGGGCTTCACGCTTACAGCTACGTTTGTACATTCATGCTCGATGCTTGCGGTAATGGGCTTGGAGGTCGTGCTCAAAACTCAACTAAACTGGGAACCCCGAACGTGTAGTTTCTGGTTTAGCTGTGTGTTGTGTGCTGTGGGTTGCTTTTTATAACAGCACACGAAGAAACTGCATTAGTATTATTCTGACAATACTATTCACAATAGCCAAGACAACAGCAACCTAAATGTCTATTGACAGATGAATGTGGTGTACATATATATATACACACACACCATATACAGAGACAATATACACCATATATATACACACACACCATATATGTATATATACATATATAATGGAATATTACTCAGCCATAAAAAGAATGAAATAATGCCATTTGCAGCAACAGGATGGACCTAGAGATTATCATACCAAGTGAAGTAATTTAGACAGAGAAAGACAAATAACATATGATATCACTTATATGTGGAATCTAAAATATGGCACAAATGAACTTATCTATGAAACAGAAACAGATGCACAGACATAGTGAACAGGCTTGTGGTTACCAAGTGGGCGGCAGGGTGGGAGAGGGATGGATTGGAAGTTTTGGATTAACAACTGCAAACTATTATATATAGAATGGGTAAACAATAAGGTCCTGCTGCATAGCACAGGGAACTATATTCAATATCCTTTCATAAGTCATAATGGAAAAGAATGCGAAAAAGAAAATACATAACAGAGTAACTTTGCTATATAGCAGAAATTAACACAACATTGTACATCAGCTACAATAAAATAAGTTTACAATTATCCAAATTATTAAATAATTTTAATAATTAACAGTTATTAATATTTTTAATAAACTGAAGTTGGTTTGAATTACACAGTGGGAGAACCCTCATCAATAAAAGGAATTCCCTTTCGAAGTTCATAAAACATGCTTTTGAGACATACAGAATCTGTATCTTTATTGGTGATTCTCAATGTTTTGCTAGCGCCCGGTTTACTTCTGACTGCTGTGGTGAAAGTGTCCTTAATGTGCCTGTCCTGTTCGCAAAGAGCGAAGGTTATGAATGGCTTATCTGTGGAGCTCCGGTTACTGGGAGTTAACCCTTTGTCTGGTATGTCTGCTATGCGACCTCAGCCAGCCAGTGTGAGCCATCAATAACCATGTCCTTCCTCTCTCTCTTAATACTTACCACCTGGAAACTATTGAGGCAGAGCAGCTTATCTGAAGGCATGTTGAACCTGATCTCCCTGTGGACAGGATTTGTAAATACCAGGATTACTCAGTTTTATGTCTTTTTAAAGGAGAAAATGTAATACCCAGTAAAAATGGAAATTAGAAAATTATAGCTAAATTCTTCCTCCCACTAAATTAATCACCAACTTGGGAAGAACGCTTTTCCTTTCCTAATGCTGTTTCTCCAGATAGTTTATTTACTAAGGATAATGCAGCCTCCTGCAATATCTCAGTTCCCACAGTAAAAAATAATCACACTGCTCTGTGAAAAACTGGAGAGTTTCTGAATATAGAAAGAGGCCCAGTAGGCTGCATTTATAACATGTCTATTAAAATATGCTATAAATGGTTCCTGAGGAAAAAAAAGTTCTGGGCAGGGGTTCATAACTATTTTTATGCCAGGGACCCCTTTGGATTTCTGGTGAAGACTGTAATTCTGAGAATAATACTTTAAAAAAATTTATTTTATATTAGAGTACAGCCAATTAACAATTTTGTGATGGTTTCAGGTGAACAATGAAGGGACTCAGCCATACATATACATGTATCCATTCTCCCTCAAATTCCCCTCCCATCCAGGCCGCCACATAACACTGAACAGAGTTCCCTGTGCTATACAGTAGGTCCTTGTTGGTTATCCATTTTAAATATAGCAGTGTGTACATGTTGATCCCAAATTCCCTAACTATCTCTTTGCCATATTCTTCCCCCCTGGCAACCATAAGGTTGTTGAGAATAATGCTTTAAAATGAATGAAATAAAATACGTACCATTACAATGGAAACAAATTACATTAAAACATAGCTATAAAAATATGCAAAAGAAAATTCTAATATCACAATATATGGGCTTATTAACAAATTAAATGGCAGACCTAATGAATTCTATCAGAATGTGGAACCAATGATGAATGTAAATGACATTTCCAGATTATATGTCATGTAGTATGAAAATGTCTGTTATTTCCATTTAGTGAAAAAAAAAACCAACATGGTACTGTTAAACACTACTGTGATTTGTTGCCTACATCCACATTAATTAGAAGGAAATGATAAATTTCAGTTAGAAATTAGTGAAAATAAACATGTAATTTCCTTTTCCTTCAAGTTCACAGACCACTGAATTATAGCCTCAGGTTAAGTGCAGAATCTCAAAGGAGTTGGCTTATTCAAATCTGTTTATACAAATATTTTCCTATTCACATCATACTGTAGAAAGATCTTAGTACTGAACTTAAAACACAAACAAAAAAATCAGAACTCTTATTTAAGTACCACGCACACACTCCTTGAAGAAGCTCCTTCCTTTGTACCCCCTCCTGCTGGGGTGCACCGCTGGTGGGCTGTGACTGCCCAGAAGCAGCTGTGGGGGGCCTGGGAGTTGGCCCTTGCTGGAGGAGACTGGATGGAGTCCCCTGCCCCTTCTGAGGCAGAGGCCAGTCCAGAACGGGATCACACATTTCTTTCGAACTGATGTCATCGACAAGGGTACAGAGGGGCCTCCCTCCAGTCTTGTGAGTCCTCAGCCACTTCAGTCGTGGACGACTCTTTGTGACCCCATGGACTGTAGCCTGCCAGGCTCCTCTGTCCATGGGGATTCTCCAAGCAAGAATACTGGAGTGGGTTGCCGTGCCCACTCCCAGGGCATCTTTCTCACCCAGGGATCGAACCGGAGTCTCTTATGTCTCCTGCATTGGCAGATGGGTTCTTCACCACTAACACCACCTGGGAAGTCCCTCCCTCCAGTCTAGCTTAGAGCAAAGCTGAGAAGGAAAGACTGGAAAAAGAAGGGGAATCAAATTAGAAAAAGAGACCAGGGGGAAGGAGAAGCCTAAAACCTTAGACTTGAAAAGAAGCCTACAAAGTCATCAGCGCACGGGACTTCCCTGGCAGTCCAGTGGTTAAGACTTGGTGCTTCCAGTGCAGGAGGTGCTGGTTGGATCTGTAATCAGGGAACTAAGATCCTACAGGCTGAGCCATCAACGAAGAACCCGCCTGTCAATGCAGTGGCTGTAAGAGACGTGGGCTTGATCGCTTAGTTGGGAAGGTCCCCTGGGGGAGGAACTGGCAACCCGCTCCAGTGTTCTTGCCTGGAGAATCCCAAGGACAAAGGAACTTGGCAGGCTTCAAGTTCATGGGCTCGCAAAGTGTTGGAAGTGACGGAAGCAACTTAGTACGCATGCATGTACAATCCTGCATGCTGAGGGGTGTGACCAAAAAACTATCAGTTCAAACTCAGTACTCTTTATGCAACCCTCCAGGCACCGCCGCCCCTGCCTGAAGGGCAGCCACTCTTAGCTTCATTGCTAACAAGGAGAATCTTTCTTCTGAAGAAACCTATTTCCTTTTATCCAGTAAGAACCATCAATAAGTTCCTTATTACACTGAGCCTTTTTTCTAACGTTTCAGTTAGAGGTATCCAGATCACTCATTCACACTGCCCAAATTCTGAGAATACACAGAAGAACTATACAAAAAAGATCTTCATGACCCAGACAACCACAATGGTGTGATCACTGGACTACAGCCAGACATTCTGGAATGTGAAGTCAAGTGGGCCTTAGGAAGCATCACTACACATAAAGCTAGTGGAGATGATAGGATTCCAGTTGAGCTATTTCAAATCCTAAAAGATGATGCTGTTAAAGTGCTATACTCAATATGCCAGCAAATTTGGAAAACTCAACAGTAGCCACAAAACTAGAAAAGGTAAGTTTTCATTCCAATCCAAAGAAAGGCAATGCCAAAGAATGTTCAAACTACTGCACAATTGCACTCATCTCACACACTAGCAAAGTAATGCTCAACATTGTAAAAGCCAGGCTTCAATAGTATGCAAACTGTGAACTTCCAGATGTTCAAGCTGGATTTAGAAAAGGCAGCAGAATCAGAGATCAAATTGCCAACATCTGTCATATCATCGAGAAAGCAAGAGAGTTCCAGANAAAGTTGGACTATAAAGAAAGCTGAGTGCCGAAGAATTGATGCTTTTGAACTGTGGTGTTGGAGAAGACTCTTGAGAGTCCCTTTGACTGCAAGGAGATCCAACCAGTCCATCCTAAAGGAAATCAGGCCTGAATATTCATTGGAAAGATTGATGCTGAAACTGAAACTCCAATACTTTGGGCACCTGATGTGAAGAACTGACTCATTGGAAAAGACCCTGATGCTGGAAGGCATCAGGAGGAGGAGAAGGCAGGAGGAGAAAGGGATGACAGGTTGGATGGCATCACTGACTCGATGGACATGAGTTTGAACAAGCTCTGGGAGTTGGTGATGGACAGGGAAGTCTGGCGTGCTGCAGTCCATGGGTCGCAAAAAGTCGGACATGACTGAGCAACTGAACTGAACTGAATTGAAATTCTGAGCACTTCCTACCACTTCATTTTTCACTGTGGATGTTGACTTAGGAAAAAAAGTCAGTAGATCAGCAGAAAACTTTAATTTTTAAGGTTGCCAATTTGGCTGTGTTGAGGAACACTTTTAATTTTAAAACAAGAATTTCCAAGCAGGGTAACTGGTCAACCATAAGACGACTAATTTTTGTGAATTTTCCAAGGTAGAAAACATACCATAAGTTGTCTGTAAATGATTAAAGGTGAAAGCAGACTTTGTGAAACTTACATCAAAGCACTGAATTATGCTGATTTAAGAGAAATAGAAATAGTTACTCTTGGTTTTTCTCCTTGGTCTACATGGGACTAGTTTTGCAGAGGAAATATGCATTTGAAATGTTTCCTTACATGCTAGGCTATGTAATTAAGCTGTTCATAAAAATTAATGTGGTCAGGTATAATAAACAACAACTGAATTTGTTACTCTAAAATGCTTTTTTAAAAAGTTCTGAAAATTTATATCATTTTAGAATCTGTACTAAGATAAGCACACATGAGAATGACATCCTACTTTCAACTAGTACATCTATCTTTTAAAAAACGTATGAGAAACATGCATTTCCCAAAGCAGCATCAAATAAGTATCAACGTGTCTGTCAGAGGGAAATTGTGCTGTATTCCTTATTCTCAAAACAAATTGCACGACATGTATACACATCAATCTCTCTTAGTTTGTTTCAGAATTCTGAGTTGTTTGGCACAGAGCAACAATTCTGTCTACAGTTACAAAAGGGAAAACAGAGTGGACGTTCTAGACAAGAAGCCAAGCCCTGGTTTAACATCTACTTTTCATGCAATTGAATAATACGGTAAGTCTCCTACCTATGAATGAATTACATTCTGCAAGAGCGTTCACAAATCCAATTTGTTCATTAGCCCAACAAAGTCAACCTAGGTACCGAACTAACACAATAAGTTATATAGTACTGGACTGTAATAGGTTTATTGTACTTTTCACACAAATAATATATAAAAACAACAAATCATATATAAAACACAAAATATAAAGAAAATGTTTTTAATCTTACAGTGTAGTATCTTGAAAAAGCGCAGTAGTACAGTGTGACAGCTGGCATACAAGCCCATGTTCACATCTCTGGAAGTTCACAACTTGAAGGCTCATTTGTAGGGACTTACTGTATTTGACTGAACTAACAGAGTAAACCAGGCTTCCCTGGTGGCTCAGAGAGTAAAAAATCCACCGGCAACGCAGGAGACCTGGGTTCGATCCCTGGGTTGGGAAGATTCCAATAAGAAGGGGATGGCTACCCACTCCAGTATTCTTGCTTGGAAAACCCCATGGACAGAGGAGCCTGGCAGGCTATAGTCCACGGGGTCGCAGAGAGGCAACTACTGAGCGACTCAGCACAAACAGCACACAACACACTGAGTCCCACTCGGCAGTGTAGTGACATCAAGTCTTGGTGATGGTAAGCGAAGGCCTCTCCCACTCCCCAATTAATTTCCCTTAGACTATTCATACCTCCATGAATTTTGACGTGGCATTGAGCATACAGGTTCTGTGCTGGGCACCCTTGTATTCAAAAGGTACCATGACGAAGCCGATGGCTTCAGGGATGGCCAAGATAAAAGAAAGGATCCAGATGGAGACAATCTCAATGGCTGTGACCAAGGGAATCCCAATTCCCTGAACACGACTCCAGGAGGCAACCGCTCTGTACCTGGGAAAAAAGAACGAGGAGAGTGATGGAACCAAGTTGTTAGGAAATTTTGTTATTTCAATTCAATAAAAATTCTGTTAATAAATGTTGGAAAATCCTTCCATTGGCCACTGACCAAGCCTTTTTAGGAATTTTCTGTGTGTGAAAAACAGCTGGGAACATTAAAAGTTCCACCTGTTTGGGGGTTCAACTGGCTGGCAGGCCTGCGTCTGAGATCTTCACTTGGGGTTTAGTGAAATCTCGTGAGAGTTTAGCATGTGGCCACTAAGATAGGCATGCTATGTTTTTTAAGCTGTGGGAAAAATTGGGTAGTGAAAACTGCTGGTACTTATGGTAATATCTTATTTCTGTTTCTATATTTTAAAAAACTTGGAATATTATATATGAAGTGGATCTAGATATCTTTAAGTGAATCATGACCATAGATATTCCATTGTTTTCTCCCTTCTTCGACCCTCAAATTATGGTTACAGTGGGTGGCCATTTTAGTAAATAAATATTTCTAATTATTACACTTCAATGTAGTCAATGAAGCAGAAGTAGATGTTTTTCTGGAATTCTTTTGCTTTTTTGATGAGACAACAGGTGTTGGCAATTTGATCTCTGGTTCCTCTGCCTTTTCTAAATCCAGTTTGAACATCTGGAAGTTCTTAGTTCATGTACTGTTGAAGCCTGGCTAGGAGAATTTTGAAATTACTTTGCTAGCATGTGAAATGAGTGCAACTGTGTGATAGTTTGAACATTCTTTGGCACTGTCTTTCTTTGGAATTGGAATGAAAACTGACCTTTTCCAGTCCTGTGGCCACTGCCGAGTTTTCCAAATTTGCTGGCATACTGAGTGCAGCACTTTAACAGCATCATCTTTCAGGATTTGAAATATCTCAGCTGGAATTCCATCACCTCCACTAGCTTTGTTCGTAGTGATGCTTCCTAAGGCCCACTTGACTTTGCACTCCAAGATGTCTGGCTGTAGGTGGGTGATCACACCGTCATGGCTATCTAGGTCATTAAGATCTTTTTTGTATAATTCTTCTGTGTATTCTTGTCACCTCTTCTTAACATTTTCTGCTTCTGTTAGGTCCATACTGTTTTTGTCTTTTATTGTGCCCATCTTTGCATGAAATGTTCCCTTGGTATCTCTAATTTTCTTGAAGAATCTCTAGTCTTTCATATTCTATTGTTTTCCTGTATTTCTTTGCATTGATCACTGAGGAAGGCTTTCTTATCTCTCCATGCTATTCTTTGGAACTTTTGGAACTGGTTCAAAATTGGGAAAGGAGTACATCAAGGCTGTATATTGTCACACTGCTAATTTAACTTCTATGCAGAGTACATCATGTGAAATGCTGGGCTGGATGGAATACAAGCTGGAATCAAGACTGCCAGGACCAATATCAATAACCTCAGATATGCAGATGACACCACCCTTATGGCAGAAAGTGAAGAGAACTAAAAAGCCTCTTGATGAAGGTGAAAGGAGAGTGAAAAAGCTGGCTTAAAACTCAACATTCGAAAAACTAAGATCATGGCATCTGGTCCCATCACTTCATGGCAAATAGATGGGAAAACAATGGAACCAGACTTTATTTTTTGGGGCTCCAAAATCACTGCAGATGGTGACTACAGCCACAAAATTAAAAGATGCTTGCTCCTAGGAAGAAAAGCTATGACAAACCCAGACAGCATATTAAAAATCAGAGACATTACTTTGCTGTCAAAGGTCCATATTGTGAAAGCTATGTTTTTCCAGTAGTCATGTATGCATGTGAGAGTTGAACCATAAAGTGGACTGAGCACTGAAGAATTGATGTTTTTGAACAGTGATGCTGGAGAAGACTCTTGAGAGTCCCTTGGACTTCAGGGAGATCCAACCAGTCAATCCTAAAGGAAATCAATCCTGATTTTCATCAGAAGGACTGATGCTGAAACTGAAGCTCAATACTTTGGCCACCTGATGTGAAGAACTAACTCATTAGAAAAGACCCTGATGCTGGGAAAGATCGAAGGCAGGAGAAGGGGATGACAGAGGACAAGATGGTTGGATGGCATCACTCACTCAATGGACATAAGTTTGAGCAAACTCTGGGAGATGGTGAAGGACAGGGAAGCCTGGCATGCTACAGTCCATGGAGTTGCAAAGAGTTGGACATGGTTGAGCAACTGAACAACAACAAAATCATAATACTTTAAAATGTAAAAGAATAACTATAGCTCTCCCATGTGGCCTGGTGCCAGACTATGTAAAACTGAACTAAATATACCTTGGTTCCTAATCTTTAGGGTTTATAATTTAATATAAAAAGAATGGCTCATATAGAAGCACAGGATATAAATGTAACTGAACAATTTTGCAAATCAAAACACCAACTGGCATTAAGAAATTGTGTTTGCCTTACTTCTTACCTTAACATTTTATGATAATAATCACATTTAAATGTTAAGTATAAAGACAGTTTGGTTTGAGAAACTCTGTGCTCTTTGACCTGATGTGATGGTATGGTGCTAACTGCTTTCAGATTTACAGTTAAGAAAGGACCTGGGATGTGGTACAGTATTTTTGTGGCTTCATTCTCGAAATTTTTGCTGCTGTTGTAATGGAAAGGAAACATTTTCTTTTTATAGCTTTCATTAGATACTGCCAAAAGAAGGCTGTGAAACAGACCAAGGCATTGGAGACAGGTGCACATGGGTGTGCAGGCCAGGCAACTTAACTGGAAGGATTAGTCAGCAACACCCAGGCAAGATACAAAATACCCATCGCCACTGAAATGAGCCCTTCATCACTTACAGTTAGTGTTCTGTCTCAGTACATCTAAAAAGTACATGTGTGAAAACATAACTCCTAGGAATCATGCTACCTTGTTCTTCACTGTAGACTAGAACCTATAGTTTTGGTACACACAATGATGCCACGTGGCATATACATAGCTCAATTTGCTGGAGAAATGTTTTGCAAAAGATTTTTAGGGTAAATAAGATTGGTGTACAGTGAGAATCTCTGAAAAAGTCCAGACTAGTCCACAATGGAATAAAATATAGCTATGCAAACAGACCAAGAAGATCCTTTTACGATATAGCCAACATTGCATTTTAAAATTTATGGCTATTACCAGTGGAATAAAGACTGCAATATATTTTGCTTTCTACTTCTGTTGATTTTGCTGCCTTATTAGACTGGCAGGCTGATGTCCAGTAAAAGCTAAAAGGAATGGAGACGGCATGTCTATATCCCCAGGCTGCTGATAAATTTTATCTATTTCTTCTCCCTTTTTCTTATCAGGAAAGGTGATGTAAATAAAACACTTTATCTCTTAAGAGAGTCAGAAAGCCAGATTTCTTAGGCAGGATTGGAGATGGAAGGTGGTTTAATAAGTAAATGTGGTCTACATGTTCTAATGATGAATATATTCACAGAGCAGCTTCATTTTGTAACGTGCCAGTGAGTTCCCAGAATATTACAGATCTATAATCCAATGTAAAGTCAACATTTAAAAATAAGTAGAAGTAAGTTTTCGTATTTAGTTGAGCGAATGATTCATAATCAGTCTGCTCCTTCCTTAACCTGCAGGACTGAGAACTAGAATGTTTTCCATTTTTAATCACACTGATCTTGTTTCTTGAGAAAACAAAAGCAATTACAAATAATCATTTGTGATGATAGAGTTAGAGAAAGATGTGGAGAATAAGAAATACTGGATGTTCCAAAAATGATTTCTATCTGGAGAGAAAAACATAACACATAACACATAATATGTTCTTATTAGGTGTGATTATAAATGGCCTTCAATCTAGTTGGTGTGTATACATACGATATATGACACTGTCATTGAAAATCTGCAAGTGTGGAGCCAACTGCAAACAAATAATATTCGGGAAATAATTCCTCCTCTTTGAAATGCTTTCTTCACTTGGTTCTGACAATCTTCTGCTGGTTTTCCTCCTGCTGCTGGGATTGGTCCTTCATTTCATATCCTTGGCTGCACTATGCCCATGCCTCAAACTCAGTACTGCATTTCTCCATAGCCCTTCAACCTCCTTTCTATCTACCTTTACTCTCCTAGTAATCTCATCTATTCTCATGGCTTGAGTATCATTTAAACTATCTATATGCTGATAATTAATTCTCAGATTTGTAACTCTAGCTTAGAACTGCACCTCTAACTCTAGAACTGTATATCCACCTACCTGCTTGGGATCTCCACTTGGATATCTAATAGGCAGTGAAACTCACCCAAACCAGGCTCCTGGCTTTCTTCCTTGCCCCTTTCCGTGCCCTCTCTCCAGTTTTTACCATCTCAGACCCCCAAGCCTTGAACTTAACCTTCACTCCTCTTTTTATCTTCCACTGCATATCTAGTTTTGTTTTAAAATTAACTTTTATTGGAGTATAGTTGCTTGCTGGAAAGAGTGACAGACTTTATTTTCTTGGGCTCCAAAAGCACTGCAGATGGTGACTGCAGCCAGGAAATTAAAAGATGCCTGCTCCTTGGAAGAAAAGCTATGACCAGCCTAGACAGCCTATTAAAAAGCAGAGACATTACTTTGCCAACAAAGGTCCATCTAGTCAAAGCTATGGCTTTTCCAGTGGTCATGTATGGATGACTATATGTATGTATGTATGTATGGATGCGTCATGTATGTATGGATGAGAGTTGGACTATATAAAGAAAGCTGAGTGCCGAAGAATTGATGCTTTTGAGCTGTGGGGTTGGAGAAGACTCTTGAGAGTCCCTTGGACTGCAAGGAGATCAAACAAGTCAATTCTGAAGGAAATCAGTCCTGAATATTCATTGGAAGGACAGATGCTGAAGCTGAAACTCCAATACTTTGGCCACCTGATACAAAGAGCCAACTCACTGGAAAAGACCCTGATGCTGAGAAAGAATGAAGGCAAGAGGAGAAGGGGATGACAGAGGATGAGATGGCTGGGTGGCATCACTGACTTGATGGACATGAGTTTGAGCAAGCTCTGGGAGTTGGTAATGGACAGGGAGGCTTGG